TATAATGCAAATAAATTTTTTTATCAATATTTTCCAAATCTTTGTTAATATACAAAAGAAAATTACATTAAAGAAAAACTTAAGTTCTCTTATTAGTTTAATATCATTACATATTTTGAAATTATATCGTGTATATAACATTTTAATAATGTTGCATGATTTCATAATAAGTTCAGCGACCTATTAAGATAAAATTAATTAAGATTACAAATTAATTACAAATAACAGACACTTTTTTTTATGAAAAAAAGATTATGTACATTGGTAACACTGAATGAATCGTAAGCATACCAGAACCTCTACATATGATCGGCTACGTCACCAACGAGTTTGTATAAAGTTTTTGTGTTACATATTTTTCTTCATCGATTATTAATTACGGAACAACAATTATTTAGATGCTTTATATTCTTTTAGACCGAGTGACTTTAGAAGTTTTGTGATCAGAAATGGGATCTTCTCATAGTATTGAAATACCAGGAGGTGGCACAGAAGGTTACCATGTATTGAGGGTAAGGAAACTTCTCAGAATATTGTAATTTACCTTACAAATTTACATTTTTGAGTTTAATAAAATTAATTTTAATATGTTTTTAAATGGTCAATTTCATGATCAAACTAGGTACAAGAAGGTTCTCCTGGTGAGAAAGCTGGACTTGAAGCATTCTTTGACTTCATTGTAGCTATTGGAAATATCCGCTTGGTATGTTTTTTAATTTCTATTTTTAATCAATGTTTTACATTGATAGATCATTAAGCCTATATAAAATTTAATTTTTATTTATTTTATGAATGTATGTATTTTTAACATTTAGCATTTAATATTAAAATAATGGTTTGCTTTTATAGGATCAAGATAATGATACATTAAAGGAACTTCTTAAAAATGGTGCAGAGAAAAGACTAACACTTACAGTATATAGTAGTAAAACACAATCTATAAGACAAACTGTCATAGTACCTAGTTTGACATGGCATGGACATGGTCTTCTTGGTGTTAGTGTAAGGTTTTGCTCTTTTGAAGGTTCTAATGAAAATGTTTGGCATGTTCTTGTAAGTATATTAAAGAAACAAGTGACATATATTAGTCCTTTGTGCTTTCTCTGTAACAAGTATTAATTGAATCAGAATAAGTTAAAACATACATAGAAAAAAATAAAATTAAATTAGAATTTTTTATTCATAATCTGAGGATTTATTTACATTAATAGAGACACATGAGTCTAAGCCTTTAAAGTTATATGTATATAATACAGAACATGATTCTTGCAGAGAAGTTACAATTACACCCAATCATACCTGGGGAGGGGAAGGAAGGTACTTATAATTAATTGGTCAATTTAACATTAATGTTTTATGTAATGAAAATATTTGTTTAAACACTATTTTTTATGCTTTTACAGTTTGGGTTGTGGTATTGGGTATGGATATTTGCATAGAATACCCATTAGAAATATTCAAGAACATAAATCTAATAACTCATACATGGTACATATTAATTTACTGAAATGTTACATGAAATGTATTACAATACTTTACTTTAAAAGTCCTGTTCTTTCTTTTTAGAGTAATGTTAACATTACTGTTCCAAGTCACTCCTCAACAACAAGTACTCCTCATACAGGAGGAAGTAATGTGGTTACGAATGTACCCCCTGGTTTCTCTATCCCACCTAATTATGTTTTATTACGAGAAAATACTACAAAATCTGAACTTGAAACTACTACAACAACGCCAACTATGCACATGCAAACTCAGTTAAATCCTGCCACAATTGGAGGATCTACTACTACTACTACCATACCTCATGTTGTTTGTAATCAGACTACTCCAAATATGACAGGTGGTAAGTATACGTAAGTAATTTTAATATTGAAGTAAATATATATATAATGATATTAACAGTAATAAAGGTTCACGAAGGCGTTAACAGTATTTAGAGAGAGAATAAATTCATTTTAGTCTTTCATTCTGATTTAGGCATTGATTCTGTGTCTCATCAAAATACAATGCCGGATATACCTAGTATGCCAACTGCTCCACCATTACCAACTTTTACTACTAATACGACAATTACGAATGAAGCAACTAGGGTTGTTGGAACACCGAAAGATTTTACAACTGTACAGAGCGGAATATCATCCTCAACAGAGACTAATGTGTCTGAATCTCATGTAGTAACGACACCACCAGCGTTACCTGACACGTTATCAATAGCGTTGCCCGGCATGCCACCAATAACGTTGCCCGGCATGCCACCAATAGCGTTGCCCAGCATGCCACCTATTACTGTTAGCGCAAATCTACCACAAAATACATTTTTCTATTCACCTTCTTCAACAAAATAAATTAACTGGTGTTAATACAGTTTCCACGTCTACGATACCATCAACGCAGTAACGATTATGGTATTCTTAATGAAAATATCTGTTTTATAACAAAATACATATTGAAGAATAAAGGTAAAATAAAAGCGCAACGTATATATTGAAAATATATTGTATTATTGTACTTTATGCGTTTATACTTTATTACTTGTTTAAACGCAGTGTATACAAATTTTTCGAATACGCGAGGATGAATTATGTAATTCTGTACATAGATGAAGATTATTAAATAACTACTTAAATTAGAATCAAGTTAGAGCATTTGGGAAGAAAAAAGTATTAAATGTTTACATATTAATTAGTCTGCTTCTTCTCACACTTTTTGTCATGCACATTTGTAATTATAATTTTACTTTATTAATGATTATAATTTAGAAAATATACAGTATATATGTAACGTTTATATTATCTAATTTATCTTTACTGTATAAGACTACAAATTCTAATTTGTTATCAAATAATGAAATAAAACATTTACATATTATTGAAATTGTTTCTATTTTAAATTCAAAAATTAACATTAACTGAAGTGTGTCCAACTACTATTGAACAATATTCATAATATGTGATAGATACATAGCTTTCTTTCAGAATATACACTACTGGCTGAAAATTTGGAATCACCTACCAATTTATATTAATATTGAATCTGCTACTAATTCTTTATTCATTTGAAATTGATGTTGTGGAGATCAATAGCACTTTACCTCATTTAGATTGATTTGAATGATAAAAAATTCGTTAAAAAATTATTACAAATACTAACATTTTTGGGGAATTTTTGTGCAACTTGCAATGCACAGTGATTCCAAACATTTGGCCAGTAGTGTAAATAAAATTTTTATCAAATCTAGAAATTATAAATACGATGATATTACTCTGGATGAAAACCATTTATTATATATAATATAACTTGATGTTATGTAAAAGGATATTACACAAACATGTGGAATAACAATTTTTAATATATAAAAATGCTAATCTGTTTTGTGTACACTATTTTGGTAGTATTTAAATAATTATTTCTGTGTCACCTAGTTCTTCATCACTTGGGAGAGTGAACTTAGATGGATCTATCAGATTTGGATCAATATGGGGCAAACCATTTTCTTCTCTATAACGAAGTTGTAGGTATGCTTCACGTAGAGCCCAATCCTTTAATAATGGATCTGGTGCATAACCAACTATGAGACTTCCAAATACAAGGCAGATAGAGATAGTAATAAAAAATGTGTGATGCATGAAGTGGCGATCCATTTTCTTATCATTGTAGTTAAATCCATAACTAATCCAGGACTGCTTTACTTCATACACCGGTACTTGGTCACTCTTTTGAACTTTCGAGGAATCACTGCGATATGCTGTGTTAAATATTTTAACATCTCTTGATTTTAAAAATGACACTCTACTCTTACTTGCTTGAGAATGAACAAGTCGTAGTAACGTTGACATTTCTTAAATTAATTATTGCTTTTTTTGTTAAGTATATACAAAAATGTTGGGTTGTTATGTACACGACTATTTATTACTAGTCATTAATATATCCCAACAATTTGAGAAGACAAAATTAGATACTCATGTACATGTACAAGTATAGATGACGACCAACCTTACAGGTGTACCAATCTACGAGTACGTAATTTGATCGATAATTATGTGTTCTTCAGAATTTAAGCGCCTTAGTTTAAAATTGAAAAGGACAATGACCAACTAGATATATGATGCTATAATTTGTTTAGTTAATCTTTTCGAATTTTGAAAATATATAATTTTTTTATAATTTTATTGAGTACAACCTTTACTAATGAACATTTTTGAATGTTTACTTTTTTTAGGTAAATTGGAAAAGTAATAATTTTAAAAGCAGATA